GTGAGATAGAACTGCAAATGTGCTTCAGGTTATAGCCAGAATTTACAGCCTTGTTTCTCCTCCATTGGACATTCTTCCAAGCAAGTCTGTTTTCCCTGAAATACTGCAGACTGTTTATTTAAGGACAAAAGAGAACCATGTGGCTTTTTGAAATGTCACTGTCAAGCACTGGACCATGACAATTCTGACCAAGTATGGCAGTGTTCTGGTATTAGGTCTCTAGGAATTATTCCTAGGAGGTGAGTAGTCTTCAAAGATAAAATGATGGTGCAGATGGTCACACAGCAAGTATGAGAGAGATATACCAAGAGAGACACTCTATCTCTAAAAAAAACAAAAATAATAAGTAAGAAAAATCTTATCTGGCAAATTCAGAATTGGGAAGTCTTGATATTAGAATCTATCCATTGGCAGTAAAGGAAATGGGACAGTATTTTCTTCTTCATTTCTCACCCTCTCCTCTAGGTACCAGGCAGCCTCCTGGGATGTCAGGGAATTCAGAAGAAAAAGGTTCAGTCTCGCCCAAGACAGATAGGACAGAAAGCTCATGTTGACAAGCCAGAGCTGAGGGGGCTGCCACCAGTTAAGATCTTCTCAAGCACAAGCATTCCAGTACTATTAGCCCTCCCTTGGACACAAAGAGTAGTGGCCAGACTGGGGTCATGCTCAACTGGAGGTAGCAGAGATGTCTGTGGTGCCTAGAAGTAGAGAAACAGCTCTAGGCTCCAGGCAGTGTTTTGAAAGAGACTTTTCTTTTTTTGCGAAGGATCATGTAGCCCTCTTTGAGCTGCAAAGGACTCTTTCTCAGTAACAGCAGTGATTGCAGTGATGGGTGCAAAGGACAGACAATTCAACCCAGCTGTGAGGAGCCCCTGGCAAGTAACAGTCACTGCACCCCACTGCCCATGAAAATGACTGCCACTAATTATAAAAGTAACACATATTTTTGTAGAAAATTTAGACAGTATTGAGAACTATAAAGAAAAAAATTTAAATACTGCTATTATCTTGCCAGAACCTAAACATTTCTAATTTTTCCTTTGTCATTTTTTTCTTATAAGATCATACTATATATTCTGTAGGCTGTATTTTTTCTTAACCTCATGTCACAAGTACTTATCTATATTATTATATTTATAATTATAACCATTTAAAATAATTGCACAATATTCCATTACATACATGTATATGTGCCCACACATATCTGTGTAATCTATCTATCTATCTATCTATCTATCTATCTATCTATCTATCTATCTATGTATCTATCTGTCTATCTATCTTCATCCTCATCATCATCTTCTATCATCTATCTATCTAATTCATTATTGAAAAGACTGGAGTCTAGGTATAGTGCTGTACATCTGTAGTTCTGACTATCTGAGGCTGAGAGGATCACTTGAACCCAAGAGTTTGAGCTGAGCCTTGGCAACACAGATCCTGTCTCTTATAAAAAGGCAGTAATAAACATCAATATTTATGTGCATTTCTGATTATTTCTTTAAGTTACATTTCTAGCATAGAAATAGAATTTATAGATAACTTAGAGCCTGTAGATATGGCTTCCAAAAAAGACTTTCTGAATTATTATCTACTTTCTTGTGTTGGGTACAGTTTAATATTATGTTAAGTATGGGCTTTGGGTCCAGAAAGAAGTGGATTTAAGTTTTAACCCTGCCACTCCCTCTCTGTCTCATTTTGGTTCTCTAACTCTCATTTCCTCTTCTGCAGGGTGGGAATAGCAACACCTGCCTTGTAGGGCATTCTATGGATTATGTGGAAGAATGTGTGTAAAACCCTTAGCCTGGGAGGTGGCCCAAAGCAAGTGTACTGGACACCTTATGCACCATCACACACTTTTGTGGTGGCCTCACCTCCAGTGCAACTTGGTATCACCTGTTCCATACAGGCTTGGCCTGCTTCATACATGTGCAACCTGACAGCTCCCTAACATTCTCATTTTCTTCTCAGGGCTGTTCTGACACCTGCAGTGGGTACTCAGGTGTGGGCAAGTCAGAAATGCAAGAGATTTAATATCTTTCTGGGCAACCCCTGACCAGTGGGGAAGGCAATCAGTGAATGAACCCTGTCCCTTTCTTCCCTGGATGGATGATTCTGAGAAGCGTCTCATAAAGTCACACCTTTCCCTGCTTTGCTAAGCTACTTTTCTGTTCTGCATTCCTGCTCCCTCAGGTTCCATTCACAAATAAGTCACCAGCATGTAAGCCTCAGACTCTTCTTCTGAGGAACCCAGGCTAAAATAGGAAGCACCAATAAACCTTAGTTTTTATGAACATTATTGTTGATCTTGTAAATTCTCCTCATCTAGAATACTGCTGCAGAAAATTCAGTCACCTACCAGCTATATCTAGGGCTTCCTAGAAATCCTCAGTTTATCCTTGCAGGTGCACAGCTTTTGCTGTTTCTACCCCTCCTCTTGCCCTCTATATCACTTCCCTATGCTATTTCAGCCTTCCTGGTCTGCTTCTGCCCAAGCTATGAACCTGCAGGCTTCCCCGAACTGGACCCTTTCTTTCCCAAGGCACCCTTAATCCAGGGCTTTGTGAGCAACAGAGATGCATGTGGAAAACCCATGGGGATACTCTTGCTTCACCAAATAGGGATATTTCCCTTTTTATTGAAAAAAAGAATGAACAAATGATGGTTGTTAAGTAAATATTACTAAAATCTGTGCCCTTTCCCATAAGTATATCATGTACATTTTAATAAGGCAAGAGAACAAATAACAGTTTCTACGGGCAAAGGAAACAGCTGATTTATTGTCCTCCTTTGAGAAGGTAGCTCAAGAGACTGGGCTTTGTTCTTTTTATCACATAAGTAATCTTAGATCTATCCTCTGCATTTCTATTCTGCCCTGAGACTTTGTTCTGACTTCATCATGTCCTGAGTGACTGACTGGTACTATGTTAAAACCACCCTTTCTCTCTACACTTCAATCATAGTTGCCCTCCTATAACTCAAGTGTGATTATTGCACTCTATGGCTTAGAGCCTGTCAATGGGTCCCACTGTCCAGATAACAAATAGTCTTGACATAGACCCAGGGTCCCTTATGATCAGCCCTGCCTATTTCTCAGAGTATCTTTCTCCACTACTCTTCCTCACAGTGCACCTAAGCCAGCAGTTCTCAGCTTCAGCATCACCTGCCAATTTGTTAGAAATGCAGATTTGTAGGCCCACTTCAGACCTATTCAATATGAAACTCTGGGGATGAGGCCCAGCAATCTGTGCTTTAATAAACTCTACAAGTGACTCTGATGCATGCTAAATTTGAAAGCCACTCGCCAAAGCGAAGCAGGTGCAATGCATGCAGTTTGAAATGCCCTTAACTCCCTGGTGCATCTGAAATTTCCTATGCATCCTTTGAAAGTCATTTCGATCATCACCTCTTTCATGAAGGCTTCTCTGCCTTCATGTAACAGTGTTTACCATTCCCTGCTTGATATCTCCAGGATACTTTCACTGTGAAGTGTAAAATACTGTTTTGCAATTCTTGCAACTTAACTTGTCCATCTCCCTGACTAGATTATGTGATGCTCGTGGGAAATAAAGACTCTCTGAAAGCTTGTTTTAACTTCTCTCTCCTGTTGGTCTGTCTCTGTCTACATGCACACGTACATATGGCTTCCATAAAGGAGACTGCAGAATAGAAAAGGGAACAATTGTTTAAAGTTTATTGCCCTTTCCACCAACTGGGATCTCATTCTGGCTGCATTTTATTCTTCATATCCTTATTTAATAAGCTTTTATTTAATTTTAATTTTCTTTGTTATTTTTTTAAACTTTAAACTTCCTTATTTTTATTTTTACACTTGATCTTAGCCAAAAGGTTGAGAAGCGATCCTTATTTTTATTTTTTATGGGTACGTAGATGTATATACTTATGGGGTACATGAGCTAGTTTGATACAGGCACACAATGTATAAGAATAGTGCCAGGGTAAATGAAGCATTCATTATCTCAATAATTTATTTTTTGGTGTTACAAATAATCCAGTTATATGCTTAGTTATTTTTAAAATGTACAATAAATTATTGTTGATTGTAGTTACCCTGTTGTGCTGTGAAATACTAGATGTTACTCATTCTATCTAACTACACTTTTGTATCCATTAACCATCCTCACTCCCCACCCCCTCCACCAGCTACCCTCCCAGCCTGGCATTCATCATTCTACTCTCTAGCTCCATGACTTCAATTTTTTTTTTTTTGATTTTTAGCTCCCACAAATGAATGAGGCATGCGAACTTTGTCTTTCTACCCTAGCTGCCTCTTTTTGTCTGACATTACAAGTGTATAGCTGACCTTGCCCCAGGTATTAAGAAACAGATACAGGATTTAAAATCAATGTGCAAAAGTCACAAGCAGTCCTATACACCAATAACAGACTTAAAGAGAGCCAAATCAAGAACAAACTGCCATTCACAATTGCTGCAAAGAGAATAAAATACCTAGGAATAAAACTAACAAAGAATGTAAAGGACCTCTTTAAGGAGAACTACAAACCACTGCTCAACGAAATAAGAGAGGACAAAAACAGATGGAGAAACATTCCATGCTCATGGTTAGGAAGAATCTATATTGTGAAAATGGCCAAAAGAGAGCCCGCATAGCCAAGACAATTCTAAGCAAAAAGAACAAAGCTGGAGGCATCACACTACCTGACTTCAAACTATACTACAAGGCTACAGTAATTAAAACAGCATGGTACTGGTGCCAAAACAGAGATATAGACCAATGGAACAGAACAGATGCCTCAGAGGCAACGCCACACATCTACAACCATCTGATCTTTGACAAACCTCACAAAAACAAGCAATGGGGAAAGAATCCCTGGTTTAATAAATGATGTTGGGAAAACTGGCTAGCCATGTACAGAAAGCAGAAATTGGACCCCTTCCTGACACCTTACACTAAAATTAACTCTAGATGGATTAAAGACTTAAACATAGGGAGACGCAGCCCCTGACCCGAGGCTACGATGAGTACCCCAGCTGTGCCCTGAGACCTGCAGCTGCCCCCGAGTCAGAAGGCCCAGTCTGCATTCAAAGAGCAAAGAAAACAAAAACTCCAGGAACATCTGTTGAGAAGAGAAACACTTTTTGCATACAAGCAGGAAAATGAGATGTTATCCAGTAGTAGAGGTCAGAGAGCTGGGACATCTGAGGACCAAGTTCAAGAAGGGACTAAAGTGCTGAAACTTAAAACAAAAATGGCTGATAAAGAAAATGTGAAGAGACCTGCAGGGAGTGAAAATAGTACAATAGTGGGGAGAAATTGCATTCCTTTAAAACCTTCAAATGAACTAACCAATTCAACTATAGTAATTGACACACATAAACCTAAGGATAGTAATGAAACTCTGCAGTTGTTACTAACTGAAGATGATCCCCAAAGTCAACATATGACATTAAGCCAGGCATTTCACCTTAAAAACAATAGTGAAAAGAAACAGATAACTGCAGAAAAACTAAAGCAAGATGCTAACATGCCCAAGAAACCTGTACGTGGATCTTATTGTGGCCAGATTGTTCAGTCTAAGGTTAATTCATTTAGAAAACCTCTACAAGTCAAAGATGAGAGTTCTGCAGCAACAAAGAAACTTTCAACCACTGTCCCTAAAGCCACAAAGCCTCAGCCTGTAAACACCAGCAGTGTAACAGTGAAAAGTAATAGATCCTCAAGTATAACTGCCACTACGAAATCTGTCTAAGCACTACATCTCAAAACACACAACTTGTGCGACATCCAATTAGAAGTCATCACAGTAATACCCAGAACACTGTGAAACAAGGCATCAGTAGAACCTCTGCCCATGTTACAGTCTGGAAAGTGCCTCGTGAAAAAGAACTGTTAGAATCAAAAACAGCTTTACCTAGCGTCAAAACAAGTTCTTGTCAAGATATAATTAGAAGTAAGGCATTGTTAAGAAGCATAGCAACTGAAGTTGTGGCTAGGCCTGCTTCATTGTCTAATGACAAACTGATAGAAAAGTTGAAGCCCATTGACCAGCGAAGACATACTATAGGAAAAGCAACTGTTGGTAGATCAGCTCATCCCAAAGAAACCACAGAAGACAGAAAAGCTCGTCTGAGTGAGTGGAAAGCTGGCAAGGGAAGAGTGCTAAAAAGGCCTCTGAACTCAGTAGTTATTCAGCATGAGCCTGAAGGACAAAAAGAAAAACCAGCTGGGTCTTTTTGGACTACCATGGCAGAAGAAGATGAACAAAGATTATTTACTGAAAAAGTAAACAACACATTTTCTGAATGCCTGAACTTGATTAATGAGGGATGTCCAAAAGAAGGTATACTGGTCACAGTTAATGACCTGATTAAAAATATTCCAGATGCCAAAAAGCTTGTTAAATATTGGATATGTCTTTTACGTATGGAACCAATCACAAGTCCTGTTGAAAATATTATTGCAATCTATGAGAAAGCCATTCTGGCAGGGGCTCAGCCTATTGAAGAGATGCGACACACAATTGTAGATATTCTAACAATGAAGAGTCAAGAAAAAGTTAATTTGAAAGAAAATAAGGAGAAGACTTGTGCAACCAAGGAATTAGTCACAGAAGTCAGTATTGAAGATACAGGTGTTGATGTAGAGCCAGAAAAACCAGAAATAGAGAGTAAACATCATAGAAATGTCCTATTGCAAGACTGTGAAAAAGAGCAAGACAGCAAAACAAAAGATCCAACCCATGATATTAAAACCCCCAATACAGAAATGAGGACAAATTCCTTAATTAAATATAATGTGTCTACTACGCCATACTTGCAAAGAACAGCTAACGGAGTTGGGAAGACAAACTGAAGCTTTTGTATGCCGCCCTAATGCAGCACTGTGCCGGATGTACTCTGAGGATTCAATGACAGAAGAGAACTAAAGCTCTGATAGGGAATTGGGTTTTTATGATTTGTGGGGTGTTTTGTTTGGAGTAGCTTTATATTGCCCTTAGGACTGAAGTTGGCCAAGTACCTATGTATCTTAAGTATTCATGGCAGTGAGCTTCTTTACTAACATTCATGTTATGGCCAGAATTGTCCTCTGCATTAGAAAGCTAATACTGCTGTTTGAATCTCAACTGACTGTGTTTTTTCTTTTAAGATAGGTAAATTTTGTCAGCTAGTTTACTATGTTCCTTGAATATAAATAGGTTATAATACTAGGCTGTTCACTTTACTAACTATAAGTACAGTAATGATGCATCATTAGAAAATGAGTTATTCCAGTTAAAATGTGTATGTTTGCATTGACATGTTTTTAAAAGTTATGATCTCCCTACCATTAAACAGAATAATTTTTGGGGGTGCTTTCTTGGATTAGTATGAAAGTTAAAAATTGTATAGAATGACTCACTTTGAATATTAAGACACAGGAGGTTTAGCTTGCTTTCTCACCAAATTCATGTTACCCAGGCTTGTGTTCTGTTGTCCCTTGGACTGCCTATTGATTGATGAAAGTGTCTGCACTGTCTCTCTTCGTCAGTGATAGTCTGTGGTCTCATGGCCTCTTTTGATTATAACTGCGGTCACCAAGAAGGGTGCTTAATTAAATAACCCCATTTATAGAAGATACTTTGTGTAAGAAAGAAAAGATGCCAGATTTATTGGTTTAACTTTTGTAACTTCACTTGGTAGTTTTTAAACAATTAGAATGGAGTAGGGAAATAATATATCATACTGGATAAATGTCATTCTAGTTTAGAAAGCATTTTGTCATTCTAGTTTAGAAAGCATTTCTAAAATACTTGATAGTTACACATTTTTCTCTCCACACATAAATACCACCACTAAAATTGTAAGTTTCTAAACTAATACTTACATGGCACACATCATCTATCAATTCTATGGTTTCAAATAAGTGACTTTTTAATTGTAAAAGATTAGTTTAAAAACTATATGAATGTGGTTGAAGGTCTCATGCATAGTCATTTTTATGTTTATTCTATTTATGTATCTTTTTTTCTATTGACTTCTCATGTTCTAGAGAGTAAGGTTTTTATTCTGTGTACCTGATATGTATACAATAAAAATAACCGTATAATGAAAAAAAAAAAACTTAAACAAAAGACCTAACACCATAAAAACGCTAGAAGAAAACCTAGGCAAAACCATTCAGAACATAGACATGGGCAAGGACTTCATGTCTAAAACACTAAAAGCATTGGCAACAAGAGCCAAGACAGACAAATGGGACCTAAGTAAACTCCAGAGTTTCTGCACAGCAAAAGAAACAACCATTAGCGTGAACCAGCAACCAACAGAATGGGAAAAAATTTTTTACAATCTACTCATTGGATAAACCCCAAAGGGCTAATATCCAGAACCTACAAAGAACTAAAACAGATTTACAAGAAAAAAACAAACCAGCCCATTCAAAAGTGGGCAAAGGATATGAACAGATACTTTACAAAAGAAGACATACATGAGGCCAACAAACATATGAAAAAATGCTCATCATCACTGGTCATTAGAGAAATGCAAATCAAAACTACATTGAGATACCATCTCACGCCAGTTAGAATGGCAATCATTAGAAAATCTGGAGACAACAGATGCTGGAGAGGATGTGGAGAAATAGGAACACTTTTACACTGTTGGTGGGAGTGTAAATTAGTTCAACCATTGTGAAAGACAGTGTGGCGATTCCTCAAGGACCTGGAAATAGAAATTCCATTTGACCCAACAATCCCATTACTGGGTATATATTCCAAGGATCATAAATCGTTTCATTATAAGGATACATGCACACGAATGTTCATTGTGGCACTTTTTACAATAAGAAAGATCTGGAACCAACCCAAATGCCCATTGATGATAGACTGGACAAGGGAAATGTGGCACATATATACCTTGGAATACTATGCAGCCATAAAAAACCATGAGTTTGTGTCATTTGTAGGGAAATGGATGAACCTGGAAACCATAATTCTCCACAAACTGACACAAGAACAGAAAATCAAACACTGCATGTTCTCACTCATAGGGGGGTGTTGAACAATGAGAACACATGGGCATAGGGAGGGGAGCATCACACACTGGGGTCTGTGTGGGGGAACTAGGGGAGGGACAGTGGGGGATGGGAAGTTGGGGAGGGATATCATGGGGAGAAATGCCAGATATAGGTGATGGGGAGGAAGGCAGCAAACCACATTGCCATGTATGTACCTATGCAACAATCTTGCATGTTCTTCACATGTACCCCAAAACCCAAAATATATATATATAATTGCATATATATATACACACACACACACATATATACACACATATATATGTATATATACACACACACACATATGTATAAAAGAAACAGATACAGTCACCTCTCCAAAAAGGGGGCCAGTTGTCAGAAACAGGTCAATTCCTGGTACTACTGATGAGTAATTCTCTGTTTGCTTTATGACCATGACTCTCTTTTTAGGATGAAACAATTGAAGCTGTAGTTGATTATGTTTTCTCTTCAGTCTTAGACCTACAAAGACTTTTCACTCACTTAAAGAAACCTAAGCCATTTAAAGAAACCGTGAAGTTGGCTGTTTAGGGGCATTAGTCTGTGTTATCATCTAGGAACAAACCTGGGACTGTCTTCTATCTGTGTTCTAAGAGTCTGTCTTGGGCTAGAGAAAACTCTGGACTCAGAAGAGGGGCTGGGGGTCCCAGGAGAGTCAGGGCAGGTGGGGGAGAGAGGACCCTGCTTTTACTCTCCTCTAATAATGTCTCCATACCTCTACAGAGATTGGATAGTACCTTTCAGTGTTGGCAACCTGGAGGTAGATTTGCTGACTCTATCTGGAAAGGGAGCAGTTGTGAAGATGTCCCAATTGGCTAGTGGGCCATGATTTCCTTTATCTATGTATCCCCAGTGGCTAGGACAGCGTCCACTATGCAGTCAATTCTAAATAAATTATTCAACCACTAAATAAATCTAAGTGGTTGAACTTTTACAACAGTAAATTTTAGGATTTGTGGGCACTACAATACATAAAATCATTTACCTTTTTCTTGCAGCTTGAATTGGGCCATAGACTTTTTTGAAAAGTCTTAATTTAAAAAGATAGAAGCAAGCAGCCCACAGCTGCATTAGCTTTTCTCTAGGCTAGAAGCTTTCCTATAAACCATTTGATGAAGTAGCAGATGGCAAAGTTACAACCTTTGTAGCTCTAAGACTTAATAGAAGCCATGATCAACTACAGTAATGGATTGTCTTGTAACCCAAATTGATGCTTTTATGGCACTCCGATGGGCTTGTCACTTGTTCTGCCTCTTGATTAATTGTGACAGAAATCATTCTAATTACATGTCCTGAACAATAAATCTTTGGCCAATATCCTTTAGATATAATTTGTGTAACTGAATACCCTCTTTTGAGTATCACTTTAAGAGCTAAAGCGGAAGGGAAGAGATGGCTCTGACAAATTCAGGGCATTTTTGAATAAGCATGAATTGGACTATAATAGACTGTGATGAGGGAGCTAGAATATGGTGGAATACTTTATATTCAGCAGAGCTCATCTGGGTCCTGGCAATCAGGAATTCTGGGACACAGATTTTCTTCAGTAAAACTCTTAATTTATGCCCATAATAGGCCGATTAAGGATGTGGCAGTGGAGTGATATGATTATCAGCTCAGCTTCTTCAGAATGAAGTTATAGATCCCATGAGCCACATATTCTGTTTCTGTGTGATGATGCCTGGATGTGGGCCCTGCATATGTACAGTGAGTGATTGGATGCCTCTCTGGTGGAGGGTATCTGAGATTAATAGAAAAGCCTACCTTTTGTCAGGTATTATAATCAGGAAGATGAAAGTTTCCTCTGTAATACAGTTTTTGCTTCTACTTCCAGGATGCTGCAATTAAAGGCCTAGACAGAGGATGAGGACATGAATAATGGGAGAGTCCAGCATTAGCACAACACTCCATTCATCAGTGCTGAAGGGCAAATGCATAACCCTCAAAATGATCCTGGAAAGAGGAAAAGGGAGAGGAATTGCAAGCTCCTTGGAACAGTGATTTAGCATGCAGCAGAGGATATGAACACCTCTGAAATAGAAGGGACCATATTTTTTGAACTTTAACATATATAATGATATTTATAATGTGACTGTTATGGACGGCTGATTTATCATACAATTGACATGTGGATGTTTTCCAGGCAGGCATCTGATTTCCTGTGTATGTGCCCCCCATTCATGCAGGGGCATCAACAGGACCAACACTAAGTAGAAATCAGGTTCAGACTTATCATTCACAGCAAACCACTTTCCTTTTTATTTCAAGTACTCTGTACCCTCCTTTAATGACAACATAATTGCATCATATCATTGGTTTGTAGTGTGGAGGCTGTGGATCTGATTTTTAGTTTCCCAATCAATGCAGAATAGTCAGAAGAATAGAGGGTTGGAGACCTCTAGTTCAGGTCAAAATCAATGTGAAAGGTTTGACTTTGGAAAGGGTAAAGAGAGTTCGATTTAAACTTACTCTCCAACTAGGGGCAGGGAGAGGAAAGAGGACTTAGTCTCTGGGAAGAGGAGGCTAACATAATTTTTGTGGACTAATTAGGCATACTTGGGCTTAGGGAATTCCTAGGGGACAGTGGGAGTGTAAGGCAGGAAAACCAAGGTAGAAGTCATGTCCTAGAGTCTGAATCAACCCTTCAGGGCAGGGGGTAGAGCAAGGGCAGAAAGGGGAGCTGTGCCAAGGGGTCAACCAGTGGGCCCAGGGCAGATCTCAAGTTCAAAAGCAATAGAATCTGGTCCAGGTACCACCTTCTTGAAATCTGAGGCTGCTGCTGTACTTCCTGTCCCTGCTACCTTGGGCCTGGGGCTGTAAATTTCATCAGATAGTCCACTTGGGAGGGTCTGGGAAAGGCAAAATCAGAGAAACAAGGCAGGAGCTGACCACTTGTGAAAATTTTCCTGGAAGGCTCTGTCATGCAATCATGTTTTAGAAACCAGAAGGAAGGGCTGCTGTGACTAACCGACCATGGATGGGAGAAGAGGCCTGCGATGATCTAGGCAGTGGGGTATGGGAGAGGAATGGAAAATTGCATAATGGATTCTCCATCCCATTCAGCACTCATACCACAGGGGCATGTTCACAGACCTACAGGCTTTGCCTTTGGTGGTGTCCTCATTTTTGGATGGGCTGTCACAGCTTTGACCCCTTTCCTGGAGGCACAGTCACCTGACTTTTATGTCTTTTGCTGTCTTCTGTCTCCAACTCATTCATGAAATTGTAGGAGATAGTTTCCAAATTGGTGACTTTTTTGGTTTATTCGTCCAATTCACTTAATTATTGCCAGTTTATTCTTCTTGTTTTGGATTTCTTGAGCTAAGAAGGTGAAAAAGGGAGTTTATTTAAGAACATAAGGATAGATTAGGTTTTCAATTTAGTGGTATGATGCAGTCTGCTTTCTTAACTCTATTCTGACCTACTTAGTGTTTGTTTTTCTCTTATTGTGGAAGTAACACATGCTGATCATAGAAGATACAGAAAAAGATTAAAAAGTACCCAATTCAATTGACCAATAATTTTCTCTCAGCACTCTGGTGTATATCATGTATTTTTAAAAATAGACAGATTACTATGTAAATACATTTTATATCTTATTGTCTTAACATTAAAAAAAA